CATTTCAAATTCCTACCTACTTGTTCTTCGAGCTTTTCGATCCCACGCCCTCCATTTCTTGCGCCGATAAATATACTGCGTGCAGTTGTGCGTTGAACATCTCCAACAACCGTGTAAGGACTGGTCGCGATATATATTGGGCATACGTTTCGCTATGCGATGGCACACTCTGGTGAAGATGCTGCGGAAAGATCATAGATAGTAATATATACATTACGGAGTTATTTGAGCACATAATCTGGACGTCACTTAGCAGTGCATGGTGACTGCAGATGTGGCATCAATGACAGCGTCGGAGACTCTTATGAAATACGTGTCCTCCCAAAAATAATACCGTGGAACTCCACGGGAATATGTATATGAGCGTCCGAAATTCATTGCGCCTGCGGTAATAATCCACGAAGAAAACGTCTTGAGCCTGCCGGGAAAAGACGTCTTGGTCTCTACGTCCTCGAATGAGGTTGCTCACATCTCGGGAGCGCCTGGCTCCGCCAGACCCTGCTACCGATTTCCTTGCTACTTGCACAAGTCTGACTGGCACCACATATAATCGGTCCATACGCACGTCTCGTAAGGTGCACTCGAGCACCCCGTAACTGCTCCAACGACGCCGTTAAGCCAATAACAAGGTCCGTATTTTCCATCCGAGCTGCGCCACGTTTGGTTACCGGAAATCGTAATTGTAGCACCGCAAACTTTGGTGGTCATGCCTGGCCCATATTGAATGCCTTGGCCAAAGTACAAGGTCGTTGCACCAATGCAACCGTCTGGGCAAACGTTGGTTTAAGCAGGACCATCAATTTTCATTCCAAGTTTCTGTTCACCTTGATTCGAAGGGATGATAACCCCCCAAATGGCTTCCGCACCCGCGGTATGTGGGAAGGACTGAGTGCAACGGGCTGAGCCAACGTGAAAATCAGCTGCGACGATAGGAAGTACAGCGATTAGGGAGAAGAGACTCCAGAATCGCATTGTGGCTTTTAGAACTGCTGCTACTGGTAGGTAGTGTACGTGTCATAAGCAGCTAGATACATGACGTGGATCAGGGAGTGCTAACCTGGGTTTCGCGCATTCGCGCAAGAAGGACTCAGAAGAGGAAAGGGAGGGAAGCCCAACACTTAAGGATTATATAGGGGATTCCGACTATATTGAGAACTACCTTGCTCAATTACGGTCGCCATCTTGATCTGATTGCGAGTCCTAGTTACAGGACTGGAGCGGGGGTCATCTGTGATTTCCGATCATGAGCACAGCCTTCGTACTTGTATGCTGACGGACATGTTTTGGCCGAGTCAAGAATCTTCGACGGTCATGAGTATTTACAAGTAAGGGTTCTTCATGAGTCCAGATGTAGTTTCCCTGACCATGGTTGAGTTACAGGTATGGGCCGTCGTCTTAGCCTAAAGGTTAATAAGTCGTTTCAATGAGAATGCCTCCCGTAGACCATATTTCATTATGGGATTCTTGCAGCGATTTCCAAAAACCCAATAACTTTAACAGAAAGGTGTGAGAGCCAGATTGAGAATATTCGTGTTTGGTCCCCCCAGCAACATGGTCACGTTCGGTCAACAAAAGGCTCACGTGAGCGCAGCCACGTCTGAGAGATCCAGCCTCCATAATATTACGAAGTCATAGAGGCTACAGTCCTGCTAAATATGCACACCACTGGGCACGAGTCCAGGTGGGCTGGTCATCTGCCTAAAAAAAGCCGGCTCACTCCCCTATTTGGATAAGCCGCTTGGCGCTGGGCCCCACTGTTTCTGCATATTGACGTGGACAACCCATAATTGGAGTGTCTGAGGAAAAGGGCCACCAGACACGACTCGCTTGGTACGACGTAGAAAGAAATTGTGTCACGAGCCCTTTCTCCACATGGTGTCCAGCTGTGTGCGTGTAGGGGCACATTGTAGTTCACTCCCTGTGTCTCGTCCACGAGGACAGATAGTAGGTTGTCCTGCATAAGCCTCCGGAAACCAGCATCATGCTCGACCTCCCGCTTCTAAAGCTGGTGGACAGCACGTACTCAGATGTACAAGACAGTGGGGGGGAGGCTGAGAAACCCCCAGAAAAACATCCCTATGCAGCTCTCGATGAATCGTTAGGGTGCTTGTTTGAGAGCCCATTTTGCAGAGTGGCCTGCAATTCACCAGAGTACGTACAGTCAGGGCTCTTATTCAAATAGGCTGTCCAGAATTGTACTCGACATTGCCCTCTGTAGTAGTGGACTTGTAAGGAGCAGCAAGGAGATGTGTCTCGGCACATCGGCACTCCTAAGACGTGAGCAGTCTCCCTTAGACTTGCTCTTGAGGACGCAGAGACCAAGATCTCCAGGGACTAGTTGGATGTTTAGGTGTTTGTAAACCCATGTACGGGAGGTTCCATTGTGGATATCTTCTAGAATTGGAATAACCAAGTTTTCGACAATGCTCAGTGTAACATCACCTTTGAATGGAATACCTACAACGAGGACCAACTATCTGGCCTATCATGTAATACCTGTGCGAAATGCAAAAAATCCCATGGCCAGACAACGTGGATGTCTCCCACATCATGGCTGTGCCCTTAGCTAGAATAAAAAAAGGATGATGAACGAGAGTACCGACGAAACGATAACCATAACGACAAGTTCCGCCCGACAAATACAAAAGTAAGCCATACCCAGCCTTACACCTTGGAGCGGTGCCCTCGAAAACGAGCTAAGCCTCCCCGAAGACTGGCTGCACAGCACCGGGGCTCCAATAGGCAATAACCACACACGGCAATATTACAATATGTAATTGCCAATTGCGACGCGGTGGCATCTGCCGTCCATGCATGTCCGTCCCTACCCTGGGAGCCCCTCCCTCTCCCTTACAACTCTCAGGCACAAGCCTGCCTGTGCCTAGCGAAAGTTCCACTGCGTAAAAAAAGAAAGAAAAGAAAACGGCCACAAGTCCTTCAAAATGATTTCCTTGTGGAAGACAAAAGAACACAGGAGCAACTGTTGTCTCGGTGGCGTAGGTTCCGGGCCGGTAACCCTAGATCGAATGTACAGGGTCCGCAATCGACCTTTGTTGACAAGCCCGATAAGCACCCTGCATGTATGCACAACATAGTTTCTTTTTTTTTGCAACAAATGTGTGAATGATTATGTATCTTAGAGTTTGGTGGAAGATGAACAAAGTGGCGCCTGTTTTTCTGAGGAAGGAGAGAGTACGACGGAGAGGAAGGCTCCGCGTCTGTGGAGGAGGGGGGGGGTTAAGTTGGGTAGATGGGAAGTTGTTGACCCTCATGAGAGATGGAAGCCACGGTCGCTTGGGAGTTACAGTACAGTGCACACGTGGGTGTTGGATCATGGGCGATGGATCCGTGTGGAAAGCGAGTGCCTCCAGGGCGAAATCGGAAAAAAAAAAATAATTGATATCTAGGTAGAAATGGAAAATCTCAAGCGCCTTCGGGCCCAAAGTGAAAAATCCGGTTGAGCGGGATAACGTGGCTGTGTGATCAGATCAAAGCCAGATCCGGAGATGGAAGTCCATTTGGAACCCGCGTCTAAATTTGATTTCATCATTTATGTAAATTTATTACGGGATTCTTACCTTTTTTTCATTTTTCATTTTTCATTTTCATTTTCAGAAAAGTTTTATAAGTCTAAATTTAAATTGTGGCGATTGCTTGATATGGTAGTTGCATTTTGCTGGAAATGGATGTAATTGAAAACGGTAAATTGTGACCGAGGCTGTTCTCACTTTTGAACTACATAGCTCTTCGTTTTCTCTGGGAATTACATAGTGGTTCAAAAAAAGAAGGGAGCATGGGACAATTAAGTTGCCCTTGCGCTCTTTTTCAAGTTCTCATCCTCACCATCGTCTGCACCCACCAACCCAACCCCGCCTTCAGCAATCATCATGTCAGAGGATGTCTCTTTCTTCGCTTACATCTTCGATGACTCTCCAGAGTGCGTGATTTCACCCCCCCTGGCTCCTTGGGACGATCTTCAATAATCACTAACGTCCGTCTTCATTCTCGTACCTCACATTCGCCACCCTTACACGATTAACATGCATGTGGTTGACCCACCAGACACAAAGCTCGTGCTTCAAAACCATACGCATTCCCCAAAACAACGTTGAAGGACATTCACGATGCCGTTCCTAAATGGTGTCATGAGAAGAAAACGTTCACTTCCCTTTATTATGTGGGCAGGACATTACTTTGGGGCACCGTTTTCTTTGTGGGTGTTATTTGGTGATTCTACATGGGATCCAAGTATTTGACGACCAGCGCCTATCCTCGCATCCAACACTAAACCCACCCTGCAATGACTGGCGACCCTCCGATGACACTCATCTTACGTATCAATCGCTATTTCGATGACCCGATGATCATGTTTGACAGACCTTCGCGATGTGCATTCCAACCCTGACTTCTCTCCTCGAACCCTTCGGTCCCCGAGTACAATGGTGGGCTAAGGCGTTCATGTGGACTCAATATTGGTGGTGGCAGTCTATGGTTGGATGCGGAATTTGGACACTTGCTCATGAAGTGAGTTGACCGTTTCGTTGTTGCGTGTGGATCTTTCCGGAGTTCCGCTTCCGGACCATCCCGTTTGCCCCCCCGGTTTGAGGGAAATGTCCCACTTTCTTCTTCTTCCTGTTGTTATCCTATCATGTCCCTCACAATGCTGACGTTCATCCACTCTCCTTTCGCCTCATCTGGCTCCTCATCACTCGCTTCTCTGAACGCATCCGACATTTGCAGGCAGGCCATATGACGCTTTCACCCTACCCCTGGGTTTGCCATGCGATTGGGTGGACACTTCATTGTTTAGTCCTTGTGCCTTACTATGGGTGGAGGTATTCTCATGCGTTACATCGTAAGTACTGGTCACCATTGTCCTTTATCACTTCCAACTTCAGGCACAACGCACTTACTTGCCCGATTGAACAGACAAAGCAACGAATTCCATCGAACGAGACGAAAATTTCTGCCCTTCCACTCGGTCAGATTTCGGTCTTCCGCCACAGCAGGAAGCTTTACCGTCTGTGTACGAAGAGATATTGCAGGAAGCACCTATAGTGGTGTTTTTTAGGGTATTGCTGCAGCAGGTACTTGGATTGGAGGCTTATTTGATTGTGAATGCGCTCGGGAACAGGAGTTATCCCAAGGGGACGAATGTGAGTTTTCATTTTTTCGAAGTGCGGTTCAATGACGTATTTTATTTTATTTTATTGGTTCGGTGTGTTTTCACAGCATTATCTTGTCAATTCCCCACTTTTCAAAACGGACGCTTCGAAGACAGCCGTATTGGGCTGCAACATTGGGATGATAACGATGTTGTATGTCCTCTACCGCTTTGCAAAGGCGACGAGCTGGGGGTATTTGGGTGTCATTTATTTCGTACCCTGGTTTTTGACGAATCACTGGTGGGTCTTGGAAGGCTTTCCTCTTGGAGATGTGGAGATGGCTGATCGTTTGGACGTTGCGTAGGATCGTGGCTCTCGTGTTCCTTCAGCACACAGATCCTACTGTTCCGCATTACAGGAAAGGGGCGTGGACGTTCCTGAGAGGCGCGACGTGCACCATCGATCGAGTACGTTTCTTCTGTTGCGCAACAACTTTTACTTTTCTTCCTAACGTGTTTCTTTTTTTTCTATTTAGCCCCTCCTTGGTTGGATGGGACGTTACTTCCTCCACAACATCTCCCATGACCACGTCGCGCACCACTTTTTCTCTCAAATCCCTTTCTACCATCAACCTTACGTCACACAAGCGATCAAGAAAGTGTTGGGCGATGATTATTGTTATGACGGCACAAACACCTATCGATCTATCTGGAGGAATTTTACTCAGTGTCAGTTCGTGGAAGATGAAGGGGACGTGGTGTTTTATCGGGATCGGAAAGGGGTTCCGACGAGGGTGATGGAGGGATCTGTGGGGAATGGTGTGGATGAGCATGAGGGGAGGCGAAATGGGATCAATGGAACGAAGGTGGAGGATAAAGGGCCAGTGGACTTGTGAGTCTGCGGTGGCGGTGGGGGGAGCTCTCGGGGAGATAGTTTGTTTAAAAGACTCAAAGAAGCTGTTTGAAGCAACTAGATATATCCCATTCCTTGTCTCCCGTTAATTTTTTTCCGTCAGACCTTTTTTTCCCCTCCAACTCCTTGTTCCTGTGTCAGCTTGCTCGACCCATCCATCCGTTGTAACTCATATCCTTGCTTTTTCACTCGTTGTGCTTTTTTGCTCGTTTCTCACATAGAATGCAATCGCTTAGCCATAGAATTTATTCCTTCATAGAGTGCGTAGATATGTTCGTGTGTTTGCGATTGTGCCCTTTGCGCGTGGGCGGCCGGGTGAAAGATTTGCTCTGCAATCATTATGAACCGATGACGTCATATGGTGGTTATGTACATCATCACGATGACTAACGCAACTCAGCATCTAACCGCAATAGGGTACAATTCAAGCTGTCGAGATGCCGTCGTGGAATCCTGTGTCTCGTTGCGCGCAGGGACCAACGCTTTACTCCAATGGCTTCTTGACATAGATCGGCCTTCTGGACTTCTGGTCCATGAAGCTTGGATGATACGGAGAAGTATGGAGAAGGCCAACTCTGCGAGATGAGCAAATCGGTTCTACATAGTACAACCAGTATGTTGCGGATAAATTTGATCAGGAGGTCCACATGCACGTTCCGAGTATATAGTGCCGGTGTCCTCCGGTGCCGCATGCTCGGTTCAGTGCAAGGACTTCTGGAGCCCGAAATTGTTGAAAGCGCTCAAGTACAACAACGCGGATGGACCGGCATCACGAAAGTGTTTGCACAGATAACAAACAGACGGTTAGAAGCAGCCGTGAACCTAAGCGTTCGGGTTCTTCTACATAAAGGGTGGAAATGACCGGAGCCATAGAAAGGGGCCAGATTGGGAAAATTGATAATACTGGAGAGTATCCCTGTTGCGGTGACAGTCAACTCATAATTTCCTGGTGGTAAGGAGTGTAAACACCGTACCCTTCAAGGAAAATACATTCGTGCTGACGGAAGGGCCCTGTTGAAATGTTCGTTAGATCATTGAAGGGTCTCGATCGATGGTCGTATCGAAGCGCAAGTATTGAAAATCCGCGCGAAGCAGCCCAACAAAATGCTGTTATTTAATGAGCGCAATATTATGCTGAAATTTGCAAACCGTTTGTAGCAATAGGGACATCGATAAGGGCAGTGCATACCAGCATGGGTAACTTACAAGAATGAGAAGCTGTTGGGCCCCACCCGCAAGATAGGAGGAGCCCCTGCAGCAACACAAGCAGTTGGTTCGACGTCACCCGGGGGAAATTGCGCGGGAATCAGGAGGGCGCTCAATGAGGTTGTCGAGCGCCCGTCAAGTGGCGAAGAGCGTTTACGACAGACTGATTCAGAGGATGCATTTGTCAAACTTGACCGCGGTAGAAGGGCAGAGCTTTCTGAGTGAAATCGTGGGTAACCCCCCCTGCTCCACCATAATCCATAATCACAGCGCTCAAGTACGTTCTCTTTCATATCTGATAGCGGTCCAATAACTCGTTCAAACAGCACGCACTTGACGACTGTCGTCAGTTTATGGGAAGTGCAGCCCGGGGAGGAGTTTGAATGCCACGTATCGTATGTACCTAAAATGGTAGTACCGAATTTGAATTCAATACGGTCAACTCGTTTCGTGCACACAGTCATCAGAATTCTCACCGAGTGGCACTGCTTCGGGTCGCTGCTACTTAATATCCAACACAACACACCGTGCTGTGTCTTTGCTGAGCGCTGTTTTCCTGGTTCCGAAACACCTTCTTTCGTTTGTGAAAAGAGCGTCATTGGGCGTCACTGCGCTCGCTTGAATCGCTTGATCTCCCACTTTAGTCTTTGTCGGGGCTTTTTCTTTTTTAGCACTTCCTCTCCTGGTCTTTTTTGCTGTTGCTGACCTGGAGCTCGTGTGTGACCAACTCATCGCTGCGGACCTTTCTGTCGTGAGTGACACGTCCAAAGCCGTTCATCGGAAACTCGGGCTTGTAGACTTGGAGGTCCGAGTTGTCCTTCGTCGACTCGTATCCCACGTACGTATGAGAATTTTCAACGAGAGACGGCACCGTTAGCTGAACCGCGTCCGAAAGTCTACCCATTTGTTTGCGCGGATTTGTCTAGTCCGAGATCGGTTGGCGCGGGTGCTATTGTCAAATATTCACTCCTACACAATCTTTCACTCGCATTGTGGCAACCGATTGAGACGTTGAATCGTTTCCGCATCTGACAAACAAGCATCATGAGCAGCCACAATAGACATCATGCAAGTGCGGCTTCTCGTTCACGAATTAGTGCCCTTTCACAATCACTCGGTTTCACTTCCATCTCCTCGCACCCACCCAATGCTTCAACACCTCGCAATCTCTCTCCAGTTCAATCGCGTTCTAATTCGCCTGGACCGACTCAAACACATCAACAATTGTCTGCTTCGTTACCTTCCCTTCCAATGCAACCACCGCCTTTCCCTGCTCCATCTCTCTCCGCATCCATTCCGAATTCTTCAGATATGAACGATCCACCTTCACCTAGATCACGTAGTCGAAGCAATGCGTCCATCTCGTCACAAATGTTTCCCAATGTAGCGGCTTCTGGTCCTCCACCCAATGCTCCAGCAGCAATATTTGCTGCTGGCCCCGGAGCATATTACGCATATCCGTTCTTTCCTCCACCTCCACCCTCGCATGTCCCTTCCCACACCACAGCACCTAGTGTTGGCGTTAATTCAGGACATCATGATGCCCCTGGGATCGGGGTAGGGATGGGAGGGCTAAGAACTTCGTATTCCAGTCCTCATCTTCCGTATTTGTTTGATGCTGGGGGGTTGGCTGCTTTCCACCACCACCAACAGCAGCAGCAGCAGCAAGAGCGAGAAAGACAACAAAGACAGCAAGAATTAGAACATCAGGTTTCTGTTGCGCAGGCACAGCAGAATTTACAAAACTCGTCTGTGGAGTTAAACGATGACGATGTGACGAGTTTGCAACCTCCTCCGTATGGTCATCACGAGACGACATTTTCGATCGGCCAGCCGCAGGTTTCGACGACCTCTGCAGATTCAGCTCCCGTGCAATTTCCCACTCCTCGCCGGGGGACTCGGGCTCACAGTCGTAGCCACGGCCACTTGACACTTCAAACCACTTCGGCGTCTGTGCCACTTCTTTCCTCCTCTGGTCCTCCGTCTCCTTCGTACTACCGCTCGAGCGGTAATCCTGATAGCATGAATGGCACCAACAACACGAATGCGAGATCGAGACGTCCAGCTCGAAATGCTGGTTCTTTTTCGCAGCAACAACCACAACATCATCAGTCTGACCACCCTAATCGTTATGATTATCTTGGTGCTGATGAAGGGCAGAACAATGGGCGGAATGAGGGGTGGGAGGTGAAAGGAAGGAGGGGACAGCAACGGGGTTTCGGACAAGAAGACTCGAGTAGTTCGGATGCATGGCAGAGCCAGATTGCTTTGAGTAATAGGGTAAAGGGAGCGAGAGGCGGGAGGTGGAGGACTGGTTGGAAGGACAGAGATAAGGAAAGAGACAGGGAAAGGGCAAGAAGAAGAGTGGATTACTCCGATTATGAGGAGCTAGACGAAATGGATAGGACAGTGTTTGTTGATGAGATCGACGCTGCGTTGAGAAGAAGCAGGAAGAGGAGGGCTGTGAGGATGGCGGAGACAGACGAGTCAAGCCATGATCCTGTGAGTATTTCTTCTTAATCTTATCTGACTCGAGTCGCTGAATATCGTTTGGTTTCCTCTTCCCTTCCTCGGTTTGTGATTGATTGTACAATTTCTCAAGACAATGCGCTGGCAAACATCCAGGCGACGGACGTTCTCATCCTCATCCACGACATCGTTTTCACCTCGTTCTAGTCCTGTCTCGCTCTTCAGGAATCGCCGGCCAGACTGGGCACGAGTATTTCCCCCAATTATCATCTTCTTCAGATTACTTTCGATCGTACCCGCCTCATTGGCGATCATTTCCCATGTATGGAATATTGCTGTTCTTGATCCAGACACATGTAGGCCTGGACTTTGTAGAGTTGATTATTTCTTGTGCTTACTTTGGGTGGGTCGATTTCACCCATTTTAGTTTCGTCTTGGCTAACGTTACCCCTTCGTACGTTATCTACAGGCAATGCTGACAGCGCATCAATGTCGTAAATTCACCAAGGGTCTCTTCCTCCGTTGGAAAGCCTACTATCCACTCTTACCTACCCTGATACGTCTTCTCGGTCTTCAAGCAATATGTTGGCCGGCAACTCATTTCACACTTGTCGTCCTCGACCATCACGTTCGTCCGCTAATCTGTTGGACCGTGATTGGAACGACGACGTGCGTCTCGAGGGGGATTCAAATTTGGGCAACGAGTAATCTGAGTGAAAGACGTCAACGCCGGCGGCAGAAATGGGGCCACATGAACGGAGGGGTTGGTGAGAATGGGTCTGATGGAGCTGAAGACGACAGGGCGACGAAAGAAGAAGAGGAGAGGGAGAGAGAAGAGGAGAAAGGAAGAACGAGAGATTGGCTGAGAGCTTGGACCAGAGGAATTGGGAGCGTGGGTGTGGGTGTTGGGGTTGAGGTCATGGGGCCTGGGAAGAGGTGGTGGGATTGGAAGGAAATTGGGCTGAAGTGCGCTGTCCCGGCGGCGGTGATGTATTTTGTGATGGCATGGGGGTTGTTGCTTTCTAGGGAGTTCCGCAGCGAAGGGGGTGGTGCCTGATACGTGCGGTGGTCCCAGATACCCATTTTGGCGTTGGCAAGCAACACTTATGCCGACGTTGTGGCTACTCTTTATCATACATATTAATGCTATTGCATGTCCGAAAGCTCTTCCATTGCCTGCACCGCGACCACTCTCTGAGCGCAATCAATGAATTAAGTATCTTTCAAATGGAGCAGTACTTGGGGGGGCGATAATGCCCTATGAACGGAATCCCTTACGGAGTGTTACCACGGGCCGATCGTAAAGATGTCTGGCAAAGTTGGCGTTAATCGACACGAAAAGCTATACCTGTTGCATGGAAGGTGAAAACTGATAAAGATTGTACGCGAGGCGTCTGGATCGGAGGCAGCACACGAATCCGATAGCAAAACCTATTGTACCCCATCTTACCAGCCGACAGACCCCTGATGACAAACGGTCAAATAGGAGGGAAGGCTACATAATCATCCAATTTCGAACTAATGTGATGCAGCCTGGGTCATCGACAACGGGCTGAGCGTGAGGTGGCACGAGTCAGATACCACTCGCGCAATTGGTCCAAAGCCATTTATCCATCGCCTCCTGGGTGACTCCGATTTGCTCAAGCTTCCACCATAGAAGAACGTGGCCCGTGCCGAGGCCCTGAAAAATCTTCCACCGTCTAAGCTGCTATGCGTGAGTGCAGCGATGACGCTGAATGAACATGTCCAAATGGAACGCCGTGGCCCCACGCAAGCGCGCCCCGACCCCAATCGTCATAAGATTGTCGGACTATCTCGGAAATCGACAGATTTTTCAATGAGACCTACGATGAAGTTTCACAACACTGGTCCTGTTTCATCTACAAAGATACAGATCATCCCCAAGTTTATAGTTGAGCATCATCGTGCCTGCGACGAGGTTTGGGGGATAAACTCTATCACTGGGTTATGTATTGAGCCAAGACAGGATTGGGCGATTACTGACACCAAGGAACTGACCAGATGCAGGATGAATGGAACGGGTCCGCCGAATGCGTAGGCAGAAGTTAAGCCTGGAAACAAGTGTGAAGGCGGGCGGAGCGGAATGAAAGGGATAGGATGGGGCGCCGGTGTGCTCATCAAGAATACGCAAGCCAAGTCCTTTGAAGGATTTTCAAAAACCCAGTGGACTAACGTTATGCCCTTCAGTAGCGTAGTCACTCACTTGAAAAGCAGCGGCGCAACCTCACGAGCGGAGGCCTCTATGGACTTCCTCGCTCCTCAGCCAATGTGAATCTGATTGGTGAAGTGTCCACATGCCTCCCTCGTTTTCCAAGCTGCCAAAGCATTCCGCGTTTGCCCATCGGAGACCGAACGCGCCCTCTTTAGACTCGCAAGGGATTAATGCGGCGTCGCCATGTTGAATAGAATGCTTATGCCAAGTTGCCAACAATCTGCACGGACTCAAAGTGGAACCCTTAGGCGATCATCGCTTAGCCCATGCCAAGAAAAGTCTTCAGTCATTTAGAAAGCCTCGCCTTTGTGTCGGAGCACCGCGTAATGAACATTTCCTGTGAACCAGATCCCCAAGCACTGATGACCTACACACCCATTTCGGTAAGGCCCCCATTCCAGGAAGGGTGGCAACCCCAAGGTTGACCCTTCATAATGAACAATCCTGCATGTTGTTAGGGGATCGATATCGAGGATCAAGCATAAAAACCGGCTCAGTAAATTCTGAGTCTTCACCCTTTACCCCCATAGTTAAATGGCAGATCTCGAGGATCCAGCCTGTTGGAGTTTGTATCTCGCTGACCCGCTCAAGCCGGACATGCAAGTTGGGAACAGATCGACTCTCAAGTTGGAAAGTCAAATCCCATCGAGGAAAGGCACCTGTCCGGCAATACCATGCACAATGTGTCCGGCCTTGGCTTTCAGGGTGATAATTCGAAGCCACAGGGACAATGAGTTGATACCGACAAGCGGCATGTCCCTTCGACTCACCATGCAATAAATAGTATACGATGTCCATTGTCCAGTGCCACGCGAGATGAAGGGAGACTTTGAGGTGACTCGGAGAGGGTCTTCTGTCCCATCAGTGGGTCGAGAAATGTCTGCTTGTGAAGTCTCCAGCTACCATAAATTCGGACGGTCATCCTCTCCAACCCGACTACACCAATGAGCCCTTGCTGCCTAGTAAAGACGGTCTCCCCTGGGATGGCCGCACCGTCGTGTACATCACGAGGCCATCGCGGGGTTTCAAGACAGAGTAATCATTATCTGCTTGTGAAGCAGAAGCCCGGGAATTTAAGGCGGCCGGACGGGGGCACCCCATCGGATTGGATGTCGATAGTTACCATTTGTGGCCTTTTATTCACTTCTTTTCGACAGGGAATCGATCAAACCACCAATTTTCCCCAGCTACGCAGTGAGGCGAGATTCACGCAGCTGGGTCCAAGTTCTCGCAGAATTGACTGACCTAACCGTCACATGGTCTTTCTAGCTGTCACCGAAAAGTACCAGTACTAGTGAAACACGGCGCGCGATATCGGGTCCACACCCATCCCGCTCCGGTCTCTATCGGCGACTTCTGAGTTCTACAAGCTTGTCTGTATATCTCAACAATCCAACCATGAAACCTCAGCCTACACGCAGTACTGCCATTCATTCTAATGACCATAGCCGGCCGAGACTTTGGGGTCTGTATTGGTGCCGAGTTTGGGTGTTGGCTTTTAACCCCTGGTCCCCGTTTGTCTCTGATCAATCATGTGCATGCGTGTCAGTATGACCATGCTGCGTTTCTGCCGATAGTACACGCAGCAGCATATGCGATTTCATCGCCCCCCATCGAGCCCCTGGCCTCTTCTGGCATATCCCCCACCACGATCATCGCTCTAATTACCATTGGGCTCGATCTGGCCCAGGGATTCTCACGGATCTGACGAGGCCACTCATGAGCAACACGATTCGGGGATGCTCCCATGTACTTATTTCCTTGTCATTATCTATGTAGCTGGAATTGCGTACTATGTGGTGAGTACACATGCGTGTTCGTCCCAAGCTCTCCGCCGAGCTACTCTCTGACCCCCAACTTGATGCTTTCCAATCCCCCTCGGACTTACCCTCCAGCCTCAGTTTCTCTATCATGATTTCGTGGTCTGGGATGCCTTTTGAATCGTTAGACACGGCTTAGCGTGTTCCACAACACTGTCGGAGAACTGCGTCATGATAATGAATCAGGGTGGTTTCCTAACGGGCTTGCATCGTCAATTGTGGCGGGAAGCCTCACACGACACAGCGTACTTTCAAATGATCTACACAATGCCGTCCCATGACGAGGAAACCTTCGCTTCCTCGGATACGATTGCTCAAATTGGAACTTTCTTAAGATGCTTTGGCGAGCAGGGTCAAAAGGGGCAGTCTGTTGAAGGATCCGTGTTATTTTGCGGCGAATGTTGCCATATCTACAGCGTCGTACTAGTATCTCTCTCCCAGTACAGCACTTGGGCCCCCACTCTGTCCTTTGTCACCTGTCGACCAAGTGAAGCGCAGTGATGTCATTCAAAAGACAGAGGAACGCACCTGATGCTTTTTGATTGGTGCGCTTTGTGGTCTGCTGCGTATGTGTGGCGCTGTTAATGAGGCTGAAAGACAGAAATCATGTTTTTTATTCTCAGGCGCCGCTTCGCAGTCGGACACGGAAGCCCTCATTGGGGAAGAATCTTTCTTAACTGGGTATTCTACTTTTTTGTTAGCACACATCACCGATATTTCGCGGCCACGCGCGGAGCTTTGCCCCTATTCCGTCGAATTTTAGATGATATTCAACAGACAAACACCTGAAACCGGATCTTAGATTATGGAGCTTCAAGGTCGCTTTGCTTGTGATCGGCGACATCAATGATTATAATTCGGGTTCTCAGGAATTAAAAGGTAATCCAAAACCTGACAGAATCAGGAGTTCGGAACCGAAGTACTTGGCATCTAGTCAGGACTCCCTGCGCCTATTCCGTCTCGGCCACGATGCACTGGGACATTGCAAGGGTAAATTCGCAAGCGTAGGTCATTTCCTTCCTACCACACCCTCTTTTTTCATTGGACTATTTTAGTTCTGGCCAAAGTCTTTTCAAGAGTTGAAAAATTGGCAGACCAAAGATACCTCTGGTTGATTCTGAAATGATGGCAACGACAATCCCAAGGCAAAATAGTTTTCCGTGCCTCTGAAATGGGTCATCTCGTCCAGCATTAAATGTTTACTTGGTGCAATCCCTCGTAATATTTCTCAGTCTCGCAACTTTGTTGGGAGTTGGCGAGTCATTTTTCTGATGTTTGTCGCTCTCGTCATCTCTGAGCTACTTGGAATGAGGATTCCTAGAATCGGCTGGAAATAAGACATGATTCGCCGTGCCTTATCATTTCCACATGGAAATATTCCCTCTAGGAGTCCGTACTGTCCCTGGTTTCACCTAGTTAAGCTTGCTCCACGGATCTGGCGGAACTCACCCGTGTCCTGATGGATGTGCTTGCATCGCGACCCTAAAGATGTTGTTACAATGCTGGGAATACGCT